GACCCCCCCAGCAAGACACACACAGAGCTGGCATGCTTTGTGGCCTTAGCAGGGGCCCCTGCAGTTTTCAGCCCGCTGCACCTTAACACACACAGGGCCATCTGTGTCATGAGTTTTGCCTGTCAGCAGCTTGAGGTGCAGTTTTCCCCAAATCCCTGCACCTATCTTCTTGAAACTTGGCAGGCTTTATGCTCTCAGCAGAGGCTACCAACCCTAAAGGTTTCATCCAAATCAGAGACAAAACAACAAAGTTATAGATATTTCATTGATCCCCATTATACCCTATGGCTGGATTTCTGAGGCGGCTTCAAAACTTCAGAGCTGCTTTGGCCAGATCGAAGCGGCAAACCAATCTACAGCTCCAGATCGGATTGCTGAGATCCGAAGTGGCCGGATCTGAAGCCGGATCAAATACCTGCCTACTCGCACAGGCCTACTGCTTGGCTCCCCCTGCTTCCATTGGCTCCACCTCCTCCTACTGCACCACTCTGGGCAGCAGGTAGTGTGGGGAAGTGAAGGCATGCATGGGGACACGTAGATTCACAGATTTAGAGGCTAGAAGGGACCTCGCAAGATCATTGGGTCCAGCCCCACTGCACTGGGCAGAAAAAACAACTGGGATCAGGTGAACCCAGCAAGACGACTGTCCAGTCTCCTCTTGAAGATTTCCAGGGTAGGTGATGCCACCACCTCTGGGGGCAGTCTATTCCACAGTCTGGACACCCTAACTGTGAAGAATTGTTTCCTAGAGTTGAGCCTGAAGCAGTCTTCCAGGAGTTTGTGGCCATTAATTCTGGTTTTCCCCAAGGATGCCCTCGTGAACAGTTGTTCACTGAACCCTTGATGTATTCCCTTGATGTAGCAGTAAGCTGCTACCAAGTCCTCTCTCAGCCTTCTATTTTTTAGGCTGAAGAACCCCAAGTCCCTCAGCCTTTCCTCGTATGGTCTGCCTTGCAAATAATCAAGTCTGCTGCAAGTCTGCTGGAACGTGTTAATTAGCATGCTCCAGCAGCCTCTGCATCACATGTATTCAGCATTCACACATTTCAAAATGGCAGCAGGGTGATTTAACTAAAGCTCATCGAACAAGCTCTAGTTAAATAGCCCCTGCTGCCATTTTGAAGGGCAGGATGCTGAATACATACGACTCTGCGGGTGCTTTATAGTGGCTCTGTAAGCTGCTTTAATTAAAGTGCCAGCCCCCCCTGCACCCCAGGGCACATGTATAGATGCCCCACATGCTCAGCCAGGCCAGAGGGAAGCTCCAGCTTGGTGGCTTCTGCCCCATGTGCAGGGCTCCAGCTCCCAGCCGCCTCCCACCCACTTTGTCTGTCCAGCACAATGAGCAGCCAGCTGTGGGCAGCCAAGTGGGTGGAAGGCAGCTGGGAGCCCTGCGCACTGGGGCAGGAGGCACCTGGCTGCAGGTTCCCCCTTGCCCAGAGAAGCACAGCAGGAGTAGCAGAAGAAGCTGCCACTGGAGGCAGAAGAAGCCAAGCACTACCCAGGTGGCTGCAGCCACACCAGGAAGAGCCCCGCTGAGAAGCTATACACACTGGCTGGGGCTATTGCAGGGCACACAGCATGGACTACCCTAGGCAGGAGCAGGTAAGGCTTGGCCCCATGGGGAGCACCATGGGGGCAGCCATGGGCTGGGGTGGCAAGGGAGAGGGTGATCACACCTGCACCACACCACCCAGGTGAGCTCTGCTGCACATACCCCATCCCTCCCCTCCTTTCCCCCACCCCCACCTGGCTCCTGGGACCTAGCACACTGGCAGCACCCCCACACCCACCCCAAACCTCTCACATGTACCATACACATGTACTCCCCTCCCCCCACCGACACACGCAATATATTAGCATAAGACTATTTTGAGCTGTTATGCAATTGTCTCTATATAATGCCACTCAAACACGTAAATTAGGACAACATTTTTTTAAATAAAATTAAAATATGTTAGAATAGATGTTTGACTTTTAGTATACAATTTGTTTTTTAAACCATAATTTGTTTAAAATTATATCTTCTGAAAGAGTGTGGCTGTGCCGTTCTCGACAACTAGCGAAAACTTAAGTGGCCCACCAGCCAAAATAATTGCCCAACCCTGTTATGAAAGCTCATCTGTTCAAATTCTAAAGGAAAGTGCCACTGAGTATATTTGAGGATATTCTGGTATTTCTTTGTTGGCCAACTCTTGCTGCCCATGAATCAATGCATCCTTCAGGACCTTTCCCTTATTTTTTTTTTGAAAGAGATTATATTTTTTGAAATTGAGCATCAACTCCAGGTTTGGCATTTAAGATCAAAAGAAGGATTATAAATTAAATAAATAATGGCTAGAGTTATTTTGAGAGGCTTGAGTGGTTGCACACTATACAGTAAAAACTAGTTAGGACAGACTGCACACATCTGGAGCAATGTTACCTTTACTTGCAGAAGATGCAAGTAAAGGATTGCTGTTGTGGAGCATATGGTGGTGGTCTATCCAGTATTCTTGGGCTAGGGACAGACATTCAGAAAGCTGGAGCCTGAACTGATTCAATCTTTGCAGGTTAGCCTGACCTGCCTAGATTGAACCAATTTGCAAGTGAATAGACATTCACAAAATACAGGCACATACCTGCAGTAGCTCAGGCCAGGAGCCAGGGGCACTAGAGCAGTCCTTAGCTGAAGGGAAGCTAGGCTGAAGGGGCATGACCAGCCCCAGCAGTAGCCTGGAGTGAACTGGCCAGGGAGGAGTTCCCTCCTCCCTGTCCCACCAGCATGGACCCCAGCCCGGTTCCACCGGGTGCTCCCCCCTTGCTGCTGCGGCGGTGGGGCCGGGCATGGCCAAATACCAGCCAGCATGGCCTCTAAAGCAGAGGGGGCAGGGGTGGGGTTATACCCCCCCTCTACCTCCACTGCCCCCTGGAGACCACAGCAGGGTCTACCTGCCCTGACCACTGCCACTGCCACTACCACTCGCTCCTTGCGTGGGGCAAGCAGCAGAATAAATTCCCTCCTGCCCCCTCCGCCAGACACCAGAGGGAGGGGAAAATAACTCCCCTCCCTGCCCCCTCACCTAAGGGGCCCTGCCAGCCAGCCTCTGGCCAAGCCCCTGACCCTGCTGCTGGAGTGGTGAGGGGGCAGGGCCCTGATGGGGCAACAGACCCTCTCCTGGTGACCAGGTAGCGTGAGCCTCTTCCTGATAGGGGGACCACAAGCAGGGGTCAGAGCTGTTGTGGATTGTGCAGGGCAGGAGGCAGCACCAGGGCTCAAAGGGGGCCATAGCCCCCCAAGCCTCCCTAATGCTGCCGCCTGTCTGCAGCAGCTTTCCCTGCCCCTGCCCCTGCCCGCAGCATGGCCCCCCCACCAGGAAGAGACTTATGCTCCAGGACACTGTGAAAGGGGCTGCAGCCCCAATCAGTGTCACTCCCTCCTCGCTGCTCCAGCTGCGGTCTCCTTAGGCCTTAGTCCCCGCTCTGCCCTGGAGGACCACAGTAGGGGTCTGCTTGCTCCAACTGCTGCCGCCACCACTCGCTCCCTGCAGGGAGGGAGCAGCAGCATAAGCCCCCTCCTGCCCCCTTTGCCAGGCTCCAGAGGGAGGGGGAAATAACCCCCATCCCTGCCACCTGCCTAAGGGAGCCATTCTGGCTGGCCTCTGGCCCCACCCCTGCTGCTGGAGCAGCGAGGGGAGCAAGTGACCCTGACAAGGGCAGCAGCCTCCGTCATGGTGTCCCAGACTGCGAAACTCTTCCCGACAGGGGCCCACGCTGCGGGTGGGGGCAGGGCAAGGAAAGCTGCCGCAGATGAGAAGCAGCAGCTGTGCTAGGGGAATTATGGCCCCCTCCAAACCCTGGTGCCACCGCTTGCCCCATGCAGTCTGCAGCACCTTGGACCTCCGCTTGTGGCTCCACCACTGGGAAGAGCCTCATGCTCCCAGACACCAGATCAGGGGCTGCTGTCCTGTCAAGGCCCTGCCTCCTTGTCACTCCAGCGGCAGGGGTGGGGGCACGGCCAGAGGCCAGCTCACAGGTCCCCTTAGGCAAGGGGGCAGGAAGGGTGGTTATTCCCTACTCCCTCCAGCATCTGGTAGAGGAGGCAGGAGGGAGCTTATCCCACCGCTTGCCGCCACTGTCTGCAGTCCCCTGGCTCAGAGAGGGAAATAACCACCCTCCCTGCCTTCTCTGCCTCAGAGGCCACGCTGGCTGGCCTCTGGCCATGCCCCAGTCCTGCCACTGCAACAATGACGGGGGGAAGTGCCCGGCAAACCCCAGCTAGGGTCCATGCCAGTGAGATGGGGGTGGGGGGAGGGGGGAATTAAACCTTCTCCCTAGCCAGTTCACTTCAAGCTACTGCTGGGGCTGGCCATGCCCCCAGCACTAGAGCAACCAGCAGAGATGTGCAAGTCTGGGACAGAAGTTACATAAACCAGTCTAAGCTCAATCAGTTAAGTCTGATACTCTATTACATTCAACCAGGTTCATCTCAAACAGGTTTTGGCCATTTTGAAAGCAGTTTGTGCGTACTGAGCTTCTGTTCTGTTACAGGTTTAAACTGGTTTCTGATCACTTAAACTAATTTATGTGCAACTTCTGTCCCTAGCCTTGGACACTGATGGCTTTCCTAGCTGATGCCTTACTTCTGGAGATCGGATAGCAGGAAAGTGTTATTTGAGGGGGACTTTCTTTCCCCCTTCCCCAAGACACTTGTAGAAGTTGTAAAATGGCATGTGGAACATTTTAAATTGCCTTCCTAAACCCAAGGCCTTATTCCTCAGTACAGTTGGGACTATGGAAAGGAACAGAGTAGAGCAGACAGTGATTATAAAATCATTTTGAAGTCAGTTTCTTAAGAACGAGGAGAAAGAGATATAGTTGTCTATACATATTTGGATTTCTGAAATCTAAACAGCTGGTCACTGCAGATTTGAGGGGGGTTTTCCCTGCAAAATGTTCATTTCAAACTGGGGTGAAGTTTCAAACTCTATTTGCGTCTATCTGCTATGTGAAAATCTTACCTTAGCTTGTATTTCCATCTTTAGAGTTGATCCAACAATAGTTAAGACATCACTAACAATAATCATGATATACCACCCATTGACAAATTCCATTTGATCAGCAAAAGAGACTTCTTTCTTATAATAATGTAGGAAGAAGTGCACTAATTCCTAAAGGGGCAGATGTGAGGAGGAAAAAAAGAAAAAGAGAGATTACAATCAAACTTTAAAGTTTAAAAGACTAGCAAGTGTTCCTGAGAAAGTTCTGTACCCACCCTTTGGAGCTGAATTCCCTTAGCGACAGATCGACTGCAGAGAATCAATGAAGCTAAACAAGTCAGTATGACAAAGGCATCAAATATCATCATGTAATGAGTGTTCTTTTGTACTGGGGAGGGAAAAAAAGCAAGCCAAAACATGTTAAACTCTGCATAAATGTATTTTTTTTTCCTTTCTGTCTAGAGCATGTAGTTAAATCAAATTTAGTTTTCTACAGAACTTCTCAACATTTTCTCCATTAAAGCTTAGAAGGAGATTAGTAATGCCTGTAATTCCAGAGATATGCTATAACAAGCTACTCAATCCTGCTGCTCAGCTGTGAGTAGCATTTCTCATTTAGAAGCTTTCCTGTATTCACTCACCAAGCATTTCCGAGCTCACAAGCTAAAATAGTCTGCAACATTCTTTTGTATGATTTTTATTACCAATACTACCCTACAGTATAATGCTGGAGTGACTACAATGTCTCATGAGAGCATGAAGTATTTGTTTCTTGTTTTAGAGCTACAAAAATTGAGGCACAACAGAGGTTTTCTAAATAAAAAAAAGTCACAGGAATTGTTCAATGCATGTATTCAGTTCCATTTCAATAGTTCAGCTACTAGATAAGCCTTCCCTCCCAGAGCAATGCAGATGGGTGCTTGAACAACTCCACAAAAACAGGCAAGCATTATAAATTATAGTGGGCATGATTTTGTCACCAATATTGCCTTAAGAAATACATATTTAGACTCAACTGATTTAAACAAGTCAAATTTTGCATCAGAGCTATATTTGCTACTTAGAGGATTAATTGAATACATTATATTCTACAGTTTTTCTATAAACCACGTGTCTAAATTAAGAATTGGAACAAATGGTGTTACAATTCAGTACTAAGAAATCAGACTAATTTACTCATACCTCCCCCCACTGCACAAAAAAGTAACCTATTAATAATTGAATCTATGCTTGAAGGGCTTCTTGGACAAGGGACTCTGTATCTGGTTAATCACAATAGTTTTGAAAAAGAGACAAACTATTTAGACCTTCAAAACAGGGAACCTCACAAGGGTCCTTACTAGACCAGCCCAAAAATAACTATGTGTTGTATACACAAAAAAGAGTACTGCAAATGTTGCACCTTAATCCAAAAGGATACAAATTTAGAACCATTAAGAAATGGCTAGTATAATTTGCCTTCAATTTGAGATCTATTTACAGACTGCCCAGCAGATTTGTGTCTAAGTTATGGTTAGTGTCCATTATAACAAAAATTAACATATATGAAAATTTAGGTTATCAACATCACACAGGTGATGTCAATCAACTTTTTGTATGTGCACAAGACCTAGCTATTTAGAGCTAGCATGCCATCTAGTGTGCAGTTAGAGCAAAGCAAGTAGCAGCCCTCACACAAACCCCTTTAATTTTAGATTTTTTTGTTCATCCTCCATGGACTTCACTTTACTAGGAAAGGATTGGTATTTGTTTCCTTTCACCTTTCTCTCCATCCCTCCATTTTGCCAAAGACTTTAAAATCAAAATTTTAAAATAAAAAATGACGAGGAAAAAACAAAAACATTCAAATCCTGGATATTATTCAAACCATTCTGTTTAATGGCAAGGGAATAAACAAAACAGTACACTATGGAAAGCTTCGGGTCTCAAACAAGAATATTTATCAACTCTAGTAAATTCTAGTTTTTGAATTAAGTTGCAATAGCACCTCACTGCCACATGCTTAATAACAAGACACAGGAAGTTTACCATATAAGCATTTAATATGATATTTGCTAAATACCATTAATGAGAGCTATATTATTATCCCACCTTTGGGTTAAGTCCCTGATATGTTCCCATACACATTCATACACCATTTTTTAAAATCTTTTAAGAGTATTCCAGCCATTCCAAATTTTAAAATCAAAATTAAGCAAGACTGCTTCCTTAGTTTTGTTCACTTGTTATAGGAATAAATTAATTTAAAAATTTGCCCTATTTTCCACTAGGACTATTCAGTTTTGGCACTGGTCATCTGTTCTCAAATTTTAAAACAATGTTTAGTGTGCCAGCATTTTAAATAAAAGGTTAAATGTTGAAAATTAAAGATTATTTATAAAATCACAGATCTGATTTGAAAGCATCACTTTATCTAAAATTCCTCATCTTAGTTGGAAAGGGGACAGAGAGAAAAAAATGTTATACAGCTCAGTTCAGAGTCATCTGGAAATGTTTTAACTACTTACTTGATCCAGAAACATGCCAGTCTTTACATTCCCTAATGGCAATATCATTGTCTAGACTTATTTTGATTCTTCCACTATGAGCTTTATTGTCAAACAGTATCTGTTAAGGATAGAGAAAAAGTTTGTACAGTTACAAGTGTGCATACAAAGTTAATAAATATTTATCTATTTTACGCCACTAATCAGTCATAGTATATTTGGAAGATATTTCTATCTACCGAGGGAAATTATGAAGCTTTGGAAATACATCCAAGATGATATAACATATTCATATATCAACTTGAAGACTGATTAACAAAGAGGTAAAAATCTGACGAATCACTTATTTTCCCAATTCTGTCTGTTGGAATAAGAATAGTGACCGTTATTTAAAGTCCCACACCGATCTGATAAGCACACAGCTGTTCTAAAAAGGGGAAGGTTAAATCCTTGAAGTATACTGAAAAGCTGCGAATCAGTTTGTTTTGTTGTTCTCTGTGATGACCCAATAAAGGTAAGTGACTAGTGGCTTCCACCACCACCACCATATATTTATAGACCCTGTAACCAAGCCACACATCAAATGACAGCTGATTTCTGGTCCCTGATGTTCTTTACAATTTTTTTTCCTTAGGGTCTGCACTTCACTTATAATAGTCAATAACAATTATTTCTCACAATGGTAAATAAAGATACATCTAAGCTTATACTTACAGTCAAAGTAAAATCATAACAGTCTGGGAGTTCATGGTGACGAACTGTCTGGAGATTGATTGCCTTCAGATTAAACATAAGCTGCACTGTTACAAGTCTGGAAGGCAATTTTGTATTAGCTTTTCACAGTAATAACATTGTACACAAGTGCAGGAACCAAGTATTGCCCCCTCACCTATGAAAGTCCAGAGTGAAATTGAAATCATGTTTTCCCACCGTTCTGTTTTCCAAGGGCATCATGGGCTCAATATAGAAACAGTCTGCCATTAAAGAAGTACAAACAATGAAATTGGGTAGATTCAGTGTTGGTTTTAATTCTACCCCCAACCCCCATAGGACAATTATGCTCACAGAATTACAGAATGTAGAAAAGGAGGGCTGGAAGGGACCTCAGGATGCCATCTAATCCAAGCCCCTACTCAAAGCAGGATCATCCCTATGCAAACCATCCCATGGACATCCTTGTCTAAACTATCCCTAAAACTACAGTGAATGCTGTCTATTAACTGCATACCTCAAATGGATCAGTCACATCAGAAAAAAGTCTTGTAACAGTGCTGCCTTTCTCATATGCCAGCTCAATGCGTTACTCACTTAATTAACAGTTACTCCTTTCTTACCTTACAGGCAAGTTATGAGGGGAAATACATTAATGAACACGAGGTTCACAAAGTGGTGAGACGGGCCACAGAAAAAACCTACAGTTCTGTCAGAAGATCAAAAGTTACTTTCCTCATCTGAAGAGCTTTAGAATCAGTTTGTTTTAAAATACAAAGTGTTTCATAAGTGATGAGTTGAACTAAGTTTTAAAACACAGCATATGTTCACAAAATTGAAGAAGCTGTGTGATGAGGAACATTTTAAACTCTGTGGCAATTTCAAGGGTGGAAATGGGGGGTGAGGGGGGTAGGTGCGGTGGTGTAGTTGCACCCCCCTACACTTTGATTCCTGCTCCACCCTAAAATCAAATGCCTGGGAGGGGCAGCAGCACTGCTATTCAGGCAGTGAGGAGAGCGCTCATTGTCTCCCCAGTTCATATTAATCTCTCTCCACTCCTTGTTAACAATCCTCCTCCTTTTTAGTGGTCTTGATGTTCTACTATTGAAACTATCCTTTCTTTTGTAGTGCTGACATCTGTTAGCCATTCCAGGTAATATCTTCCTTATGTTTCACAGCCCTACAGATGGCTGGTTTTAGCCCTAGCTAAAAACTTTAACTCAGATATAGACATGACTGACAGTGAAGTATTGGAGACACTGTCAAAATGTTCAAGGGGGCTAGATTTTTGTTTTATAAATCTAAATAAGAAATGTACATATAATTATAATGACTATAGGACTGAGGACACACTATCACTATATTTTAATCAATGACCTGGAAGGTGGAATGGAGTGCACCCTCAGCAAGTTTGCACATGACACTAAGGTGGGTGGAGCAGCAGATACACCGGAAGGTAGGGCTAAGATTCAGAGACACCTAGACAAATTGGGGGATTGGACCAAAAGGAATCTCATGAGGTTCAACAAGGACAAGTGCAAAGTCCTGCACTTAGGATGGAACAATCCCATGGACCAGTACAGGCTGGGGACTGACTGGCTGGGCAGCAGCTCTGCAGAAAAGGACCTGGGGGTTACAGTAGATAGTAAACCAAATATGAGTCAATAGTGTGCTCTTGTTGCCAAGCAGGCTAATGGCATACTGGGCTGCTTTATTAAAAGTGTTGCCAACAGATCAAGGGAAGTGATTATTCCCCTCTATTCAGGACTGGTGTGGCCACATCTGGTGTACTGTGTTCAGTTTTGGGCCCCCCACTATAGAAAAGGTGTAGACAAATTGAAGAGAGTCCAGTGGAGTGCAACGAAAATGATTAGGGGGCTGGGGCATATGACTTATGAGGAGAGGCTAAGGGAATGGGGATTATTAAGTCTGGGGAAGAAAAGACTAAAGAGAGATTTAATAGCAACTTCAACTACTTGAAGGGTGGTTCCAAAGAGAAGGGAGCTAGACTATTCTCAGTGGTGGCAAATAAACAAGGAGCAATGGCCTCAAGTTGCAGCAAGGGAAGTTTAGGTTAGATATTAGGAAAATCTTTGTCACTAGGCTGGTAGTAAAACACTGGAACAGGTTACCCAGAGAGGTGGTAGAATTTCCACCTTGGAGCTTTTTAAGACCTAGCTAGGCAAAGCCTTGGCTGGGATGATCTAGTTGGGGATGGTCCTGCATTGAGCATGGGATTGCATTAGATGACCTCAAGGTCCCTTCCAATACCCTAATTTTCTATTATTTTATTGTTTGCTTGGTTTTTTTTCTTTAACTTTATATAAATTTTAGCAAAGTAGTGCACATTCTAATAGTTGTATTTGTTTTTGCTTTTATCTTAAGCTGAATAATATAGCACTAGCCCCATAGCATGTTAGTAAAGCTTCTAATTTCTCTTCAACTGGAAGAAAATGTGTTGCATTAGTGATGATGTACCACGTCATCTGCAACCCCTTTTTTCAAAATCCTAGAGATTCACCCATGGGAAATACGCTTTAGAAATCCATTTCAGTATTCAACAGCCAGAGAACAAGTAAACAAACAGAGATAACTAATTTAAGAGTTTAAACAAGATATTAAGCCGCAATTTCACCAGTTTCAATTTCTGGGTCAATGTCAAAGGTATCATTTCCAGGGCAAATGCTTCCTCGTTTGTAGAACTGTTGACATACAGCCATAGCAGTGTGGTCTACTCCTTTCTTCTCATAAGCATGGTTTCCAACAGATATGTTGCGCAGCTGCAAGTACTAAGTCAAAAGCAACAAATAGTCAAATGAGGTTAAACGCTATCAGGAATCCTACAGCCTTTGAAGGAACCCCCCCCCCCCCAAAAAAAAACAACAACAACAAAAACACCCCAGCAGTGTTAATTTGAATGCACATTACAACCATTTTAGTGTTTTGGTAAAATTTAAACAATTTGGACTCACATTCCATAGTCAGAGCTCACCAATTTTAAGGTATTTTTACCTGGGCAAAAGGATCCTAAACTAAATATTTGCCATTAAATGTTGTCTTTACAAGTCCCTAACAAAGTGAGGGCAAGTATTTCATGACTTGTGAAGAACTTGGAAATCTGTGGATTGGAACCATTCATGGACATGGCAGTTCAAGTGAGCTTTACACCTTCCCATATATCCTTCTTAGCATCACCTTGTGTTCTTTAGATGTAGCCAGACATCCATCCTAATTTGCCCAACTTGTTTTTCAGTGATCTCTGAACTTGTCTGACCTCCAGTGAAAGATGGGAAGCAGGTATATTTATTTAAAAATAATCCCTGCTACATATTTATGTTCAATTGAAGGCAGTGGAACAAAATTCACAGAAAGCAAAATGATTCTCCCCAATCTGAAGACTGTAAGTTTCACTTTATACTAGGTTTACCAAGAAACATCATCTGTCTGCAAGGTCCGTTTCCTCTTCACTTGTGTGCGTCAACCCGTTGTCTTCAGGTCCTGCAAATCTGGCAATATATTTCTTTTTCCAAAACACTTTTGGCTTATATAATTGTTCCTTTTTCCTTACCCAAGATTCTTCTATTAGCCTGTTACAAATAGTCACAGGCCTCCCAAACTAATAGAGAGGTCTAAGCAAAGATCTTTAAAAGCCTCCTGGGAGTAAGGAACTTCTTTCTTCCCTCTCTCACAGCTTGTGACAGAGCAACAAACTGAAGCAACAACTCAGTCCTATGCTAGCACTGTAATCTCCCTGTGTTTTCAAATTAGGCAGCACCACCAATAACAATGTCCACTTTAATTTTAAACTTTGAATTTTGGTAAGATCTGCCCACTTATCCACAACTGCCAAAAAGTGAGATGAGGGGAAAAAGGTTATTCGGAAGTGTTTCAGCTGGAAAACATTGCATTGTAAAAGCCTTACCTACATACTCTTGCTTTCCAGTACACTATGCTTAACTATAAGTCTATTGAGTAGCACAAGACTCAATGGAGCATTAGAAAGCTTTATTTAAGATCTGTAAATTGACAAGACTGATCAGGCTTCTCCATCCAGTGTTGAAACTGGAGATGATGTTCATTAGATCAATGGAAATGACTGGCCTCAAGCTATCTGTGTTACACGGTGTCTGTAAATAAGCACAGTGTGATTATTGCTTACATAATTAATAATTCAAGGCACCACACCAAGTAGTGAGCTCTATTATCGCATGCTTGTTTCACACAGCATGGTTTAGTATATGCAGTATTGTCTACTCTTATGATTTTTGGTGTTGTTCTTAAAGTCTATGCTTTGGGAATGTGAAAAACTTAGCTCTTTTTTATATACATTTATATTTAGAAACACTGTATATGTTAAAACAATGGTACTAAAACTCTGAATACTTTGAGCAATACCTCATTCTCCTTTACAGCTTCTTTGAGGTAGTCTACTTTTCAGAGACCTAGTCTACTAGCATAGTTCATGCCATTGAAAGTTAAAAGTGTAATTGGAATATTTTGTACCACCAAAGTTAGGTATTCAGAAGCACTAATGGACAGAACTAGGAACACAGGTCTGTACTAGATGCCAAAACAAAAGCTTAGTATAAGAATAGGGACCTCCCCTTTTGAGGTTTGAACCCTGACATTGAGTTATCCAAAAAAAGACAACTATGCCAAGATGCCAGTCTTACTTGAAGCTTCATTTAGTTTAGTCTAACTGGGCCCTTCAAAAAACAAAACAAAACAAAACAAAAAACAATCCAAAGTTAACAAACCCATTAGAGAAGTTGTGACAAGTCTATATGCTTACTATTCAAAAGGACTACAAGTGGAGGCTCTTAACCACTACATATTTACTGGTGAAGCCAGTGTATATATAAAGCCAGAGTTAGATTAAATGATATGAGAGCACATCTATTCTCTTCCCTAGCTCAACAACAAAGTAGTTTTCCTACTATAATTTTACAGGAAAAAGAATGTTAGCTGAATCTCTCTTTTACCTTAGCCATGATACATAGTTCTTGAAGATACAAACTCCGGGATTCTTTCTGGTATCCCTATATTTATTTTGCTTCCCCTTTGGTGGACAAAAGGATGATACCCCTCTTCTTCTCCCCAGATAAAAGTCAACCATCCAAATTTCAGAGACTGCTTGATTTCAGGTCCATTTTATAGGGGATTTGATTTTTGTAAAATATTTATATAATATACACATTATAATAAAAGTCTTTACCTGGTTAATTGCAAAGAATATCTGGTCATAGACATCTCTTTGTGTATATACAGCATAGGTATCATCCATTCTGTCTGTATATCCTTTCAAAAAGAGGTGTTTGAATGCCACAGTGTTCTCCTCCTTGAAGGCAACCACCATTTGATTGCTCAACCCAAAAACTACCAACTGAAAAAGAAAAAAAAAGACATAGTGTTTTAATTCCTAATAGAAAACTGGCTTCTGGTGGCTTAGGTCCCTGATGCTTGTTACATTTAAGGCATGATTAACAAATTAAGCACACGTTTAATAATAACTCAGTCTGTAACAAGGTGCATGGTTTAGGGGTGAAAGCCCAGCTGCAGAGGGTTAGAGAATAATAGCCAGCAGCACTGGGCCAGCTGATAGGGTTGACTGGCTAGCCCTGAAGGAAGTTAAAAGCTCCCAGAGAAATGAAACTGGGAAGAATGGAAGCTGAGAAGAAAGGCAACTGGGTAGCACTACAGTGAAGCCCTTGCCCGGGACAGAAGAGGCAGGGGGTGGTGAACTTTGCTGATAATTTGTTTTTCTGTTTAATTTGAGGTAGGAAAGGGGGAAGGCTGGCTCCTGACCCAGGCTAGAAGAGGAACAGCCAGCTATCTGACTACATGTTCAAGGCAATTTAAAGCATGTTAATACAGTAAGTGAGCCATAAAGTTATTCCCCACATACTTTGTGGCTCAATTGTTGTTAAACTGAACATGTGGCACTGGAACTGGCCCATGACAGATCCCAGTGCCCAGCTGGGTGTCAGGATCCAACAGAGGGAAGCCCAAGGGCTTGGGATACAGCTGTCCCCTACCCACTTGGGCTGGGGAAAGAACAAGTCCATGGATGCCAGGCCCTGCCAACCCATGGGGACAGAGGGTGGAGGGGTGGTGAGCCTGCTATCAGGGAACAACTTTGGGCTCACTGCACCCCAGACTTTTAGAAACTGCATATACAGCTGTATTCCACATGTACTTTTCTGACATCCCCAGTGCCTGAGGACCATAGGATCAAGGAGCCTCTCACCAGTCCCTTTGCACTGGAGAGGTCATAAAACTGCATGTTCAGCCCAGGCCCAAACACAGTTTTTAAAAGGTCCCAACATGACAGGACACCAGGATCCAGAAGAGGCGTCCCAGAGTTCCCATGTTTTAGAAACTGTGAAAGCCACATGTGCCACCCAGGTGGGGCTTTGACCAGACCCCATTTCAGTCCCTGGTCAAGTCCAGACCCCAATTCAGTCCTTGGCCTCAGCTAATAATCAACTGGATTGTGGACACCGAGCTTTCAACTTGCTGGTGAAGAGGGAGCCTAGGATCATGATCCCAAGCTCCCCCTTGCACTGGCAAGTAAGGTGCAGTTGGGATCTAATCCATGATCCCAAACTTGCATGTGGCATAGCAGGAGGAGCAGCTGTTGGGATTATAGATCAGATTACATCATGCCTTTAAATGAGAGTCTGTCAACAACCTTAGAGCAGAATTCCTCTCCCAATGACAGCCATGGTTTGATCACATTAGAGACTGAACTCTCACTTCAGTTCTTTATTTCATAGTACAGGAAGAAAAACAAGAGGATGTTTGAATTTTCAGCTGCACCCTAAAAAGTAGTTGGTTTAGTAGATGACTCTTTTACTATGGTTATCTTTGTCTCCTCTTGTCATTTCCCATCCAGATAAAGGAGGATCCAACAGTTTAAGAAAACTGTCATCCTCACTTCTCCTCTTTCAGTGACCTAAAGGGTAGTACTTGTCTAGTATCTCTCCCAACTTCACATTTAGTCTAATAAAGGATGTCACCCAAAAAAAAACCCCTTGCTTCTTCCACATTTGCTGGACCACCATGGCTACAACACTCCAACCCTATTTTCTCGTCTCCTGTCAGAGTTGCAAGTCAGACATTACGTGAGTTTTGAAAGTAATTGCCAACTTTCAATGTCAATCCTAGTAAAATAAATTGAAAGAGACACTTTAGGACAATATGAAGGGGGGGAATGTGGTTGTCCCGCCTCTTGTGCACAGGTGAAAGCTACAAAGATTACCTATTATGGACACAACATTCTGCTATTATACTAAAATCAGTTATTAATATTAGGAGTAAATGACCATATACGTTAGCTATTAATTTTGCAGAGAGAGATTTTAAAAATAATTTTATAATCTTAATGAAAGCCCACAGTTTCATAGTTTCATAGTTTCTAGGGTCGGAAGGGACCTGAGAAGATCATCTAGTCCAACCCCCTGCCATGGCAGGAAAGAGTACTGGGGTTAAACGACCCCAGCAAGGTGTAGTTCTCTTCACTGATTTTACTTCCAATGGTCAGAGTGAAGGAAAATTATGAAAAACTGCCATGAAGTAAGGCAGTCAGTCACTAGGCTAAAGGAAATTTTTTTTTTCCAGATTTGATGAAACCTGGAAATATAATTTCTAAATGAGGGTAGCTAAGTTATCAATCATCCTGACATATCAAATCTTATCTACTCAAGGTATAGCTCTAGGGCAGGGCAAGGCAAAATATGGCTTGCAGGCCAGATCTGGCCCACCAGGCACTTTCATGTGGCCCAGGACACCCACCAATTAATTGCATCCCACCCCGCCCTTCCACCCACAACGGTGGGAGCGAGGTGCCCACATGTACACCCCCCACAAACGTATCCCATTGCACCTCACTCCTACCCTCATGGGTGGTAGGGCCTGGCCTGGCCATCAGCCAGCTTCCAGGCAGGGCTGCTACTGCCACTGCTGCAGCCCCCAGGGACCTGCTCTGTTACCCTGGTCTCCTGCTGGCTCGGGGCAGCAGGTAGGGAAGCGGCAGGGGCATGGGCCAAGCTGCAGCTGGATGGGAGCATGTAGCGTGGGGCTGGAGCTAGTGGCAGCGTGAAGCCCACACCCAGGGGGTGGCAGCAGCATGGAGCTTGGGTGGGTAGGGTGTAGGTGTGAAGGGGGTGTGTGTGTGGGGACCCCCTCCCCCACACTCACCCCATTGCACACAGCCCCAGAAGATGGTGGCAGCAGCAGGCAAGGGTACTCGGGTCACTCATGCCTGGCACAGGTGCTGGTGCCTAGCAGGGCATGGCTCTGGCCAGCACTGCACATCATGGCAAGAGGCAGTCTATTGCCAGTGCTCCCCACCTCGCATGCACAGCCCCCGCACTCACACGGCACAAGAGGGAAGCCCCATGCGCTGAAGCCAGCTGCCTTTCCCAGTATTTAGTCAGCAGAAAAGGTGATTTGCAAATCAAATTACAAGGTTGGATAGGAAGAAAATTATGAAAGAACTGAAGTTTAATTCTGACAGAACTTAAATGTGTAAAAAGACAAAGGCCTTATGTAGTATATTTAAGTTTAATTTTGTGTTTATTATGACACAATATGCCATAGTTTCAATGCTCTGATGTTCATCAACACAAGAGGAAGCTTCTGTTGATACAGTTGCATTGTGTCAGAGCAAGCACAGCATTTGCCAGTTGCCATTCTCCAAACATACGGCATCGATGAAGTAAAATGGAAGCCCCTGATCCCAAGCTTATTTACCTGGATGGTTACCATCACTATTTTTAAAAGCTGAATCCCAAGTTTCCATGGTTTTCTTCCCCGGGCCCAGAATTTCTCACATGGGTTCATGAAAAAAAATTTAAGTTTCCTTCTGAGTTGGTCTTCTAAGAGTAGCTCTTGTGATATAGAAGGGTGCTGTTTGTAGTTGTAAAGATTTTCATCATCATGAGAACTGCAGCTGCTTATAACCACTTCATTATTTTCCATTTCTGGGGAGAGGGAGGAGAGAACAACACTGTGAAAATCAGTTGGGAATGAACATGAACACACACACAATTTCAGATTGTGCTAATAAAACTGAGATCTTGGTTGTAGTCTTCTACAAAATGTTTGCACATTACATTGCACTGAAAGCAAGACCCAAAGTCTTTATTTCATGTATTTTTAAGAACTGCATTTGTAACAGTTAAGCTTTTGACAAGCCATTTATTTTACAGATCAAGTATTAGAACCATGACTTGGCTGTGAGATTTTTGTCCGTATATCCAGACTTAATAGCCATACGCTCTGTTTTTTTCTCACAACAAAGCCACATACAAAATAAGTTATAGGCACAAAGCAGAATAGATCAGTGGGGCAGAAAGTCATATATAAATATCAGCTTTCATGTGTACTTGTTATCTGTTTCCTAGAGCTACACTTCTGTTGTATAAAAAAGTAGAACAAGGCTAAATGCAAAGTCTTGAAACCCTTTCAAATAAAAAAAAGAACATTTTCAGATGCCAATTCTCCTTTACACGAGGCTAAATTTAGAGGTGGCAACTAGTCCAAAACTAAAGTTACTATTACAAGGTCATTGTCTCTTCCAAGAGAGGTAGTTAGACATATTAATCTGAAGTCCATGTTATAGTTTCATAGTTTCTAGGGTCGG